CCAAGTCGCGTGTCAGCAACGGCATGCGGTTTCTCTGTCTTCGATGTGATATCATACGCCACGCGTCCATCCCCCATTGGCTGTGGCCCCTGCATTCCAGTACGTTCTGACACTAATTGTGTAAGACGAGGTCATGATGAATAGCCTAGACTAGCCTAGGCTAATGACCTGTACGTCAATAGCTTATCCTGGAGTAGAGGAAGCGTCCAGGACGGGGTACCTCTCGGCACCGAGAAAGGCCATCTCGGAACCGAGGGAGGGATACCGACCGAGGTACCATATCAGACCGAGGCTACGTGTTGGTTGTAACTCATACTGAATGCCATGATCCTATATGACGAGTACCTCGGGGGCGAGGACCTTTGTGCGCCGATGGTGCTTGATCTTAGCAACAGTGTTTTGGTAAATACCGAAGACACGTGTCTTCATCATAGAGTATTTCAGAAAAGTTCCATCACTAACTACCGGTAAGACACGTGTTGCACGTGTAGAAAAAGATAAAAGAGTATAAGGGTTGATGCTCCCTGAACAAGAAATATTGAGTTAGATCATGGCTGTTGGAGCTGATTATGTTATGGACATGACACGTACAGAGCTAAGGGGGCTGTACATGATTTTAACTCTTCGCAATTACTTGACTTGGTCATTTAGAGGAAAATCAGCATATCACATCCTAAGAACCCAATATGAAAGTTTATTTCGCACTGAACTAATCCAATCATCCCCTAATGTGTCTTATCTTTTTGAGATGCCTATGATCATGTGTCTTCCTTATCCATATTCAATATAAATTTAACAGCCTCAATTTCAAACCACCCCCAAGCAGAGTGGTGTTCGGTTATTACTCACTTTGAATATATCTTAGAATAAGCAACCTCAATTTCTGACCACCCTAAAAGTCAAGTGTTGCTTGTTTATGTTTAAGTGCCTCAATCAACTTGAAGCTTGAAAAAGTCATATAGATCAAGAGATAAAAAATATAAATCTCCATACAGAAATATTGCAAAATTGAAATGAACAGGACCATGAAATTGAGGGCCATGTATGAGCAGATGCACATCTATACATAAATTGTCAGTACAAATGTATGAAATAAACTCACTCGTTGGGATCTTCTTCACTGCAATCACATAGGATATTGCACTAATGTAATTGGACAAAACTGATAATAGTACTTTCAGATCAGAATTACGGAAATAAAAGACCAAAGCTAGTAGCCTAGCTTCCCACTGCCGCCACATGAACTACAAGACCGTGCAGAAGAGCATTTTCCACAGTAGCTCCATTTTTTAGGTAGCCTGTTAAAATCCAGTAGGTAAGTTTATATAATAATGAGAACAGTGAAAGAAAGAGATGTGTCAAATTATACCCTGCAGTGTATCTAGTGGCCATGTTCTTTGCAGTCAATCTTGCTTTCTCCGCACTTGCATCTGAGAGTTTCTTAAGCACAAAACCTTCACCTTTGCATTCAGGACAAATACCTGAACCGCCACAATCTTCACAAACTTTTGAGGGGGCCTGTGTTTGAAGAAGATGCATGACAAAGACGGCTGAGGAGCAAAATGCCAAAGGACTTTTTTTTTTCCTGTGTTTCTTAGAACATGATGTAATATATGACTTACTAATAATAGACTCTAAACATACATTCAATTCTCAGAAAAACTCAACAAGTTTAATTCAATTATTAACACACCAGGAAACATGGGTCTCTTTTTGCGGAAAAAGCCAGGCTTACAACAATGTCTAGAACATAATAATTTTTTCCATCATCAGCTGAAAAAACATGTGAGAAGAAAACAGGCACTTTAACTATTTCTCACTGGGCAAGCATATTTGATCGTAGTCAAGTTCTCACATTGTTGGCATAGTGCCAAAGGCTTTCTCATGGATTCTTATTCCAGTGCGGCTGTAGTTAACGTCTCCCATCTTGAATATACTAATGCAAGAACATTATGTTCTTCTCCTCACTCTCAACAAATACAAGAGGCATTCATATGGGAATAGTGATATTTGATTGGTATATGATTAATTGCACCTGGTAACACTAACTATTAGGGATAGTCTTGAAGGTAATGACAACAATAAATTGAAAAGAAGAAAGCCGATTAACTCAGAAGAGAAGAGAACTACTTTTTGTCTTCTAGAAGCAAGGATCAAATGTCTGTCAGCTAATGCTTTGGTAGCATTTTAATTTCACATCAAAATGCAAATGAATAGCCACAAAACCTTTATACTCTTTTATGGCCATACTATTGTTGGAATGAAACAAAATCTTGTATTTTTATATATCTAAGATTATTACAGGATCCGTGTATATATAGGCAGAGTTGGGCAATACAGGGACTACAAATATTGAGGCTACAATTGAGGATCTGATGTTGACCNGCTCTATGTACTCTTTCAAATATCCGTCTCGGACCAATCTTTCCAAGAACGATTTGAACACCCTGCTGCTTTCGGTGCGATGCCCAAAAATCCTGNTTGACCTTATAATTGAGGG